GGTCACAATGACTTATTATGAGTTCAATGAACTAGTTACTAAAGATTCATTATTATTCGTGGAGTACTAATATTTTTGGAATTCGTAGGTAAAGGTGACCCACAAGTTTCTCAATTCAATAAAATGCTATTTTCTTATAGACTTAACTAGCTTGTTTGCAGGATTAGTCAAAAATCACAAAATTAATAATCCATGAAAATAGAATAATTTCCTAAATCCACGAAAAGATTCCACAGAACTTTAAAAATTTTGTACTTTGATTTAAAATATACTTTCATCAAATTTTAATTTTTTATATTTTTTTAAATTTAATGAACATCAAAGATTATAATGTTCAAACTGTGGGACAATCTCCAACTTGCTGTATAGGCTCTTTAGCAACTTTTAGATATTGTCAAGATGAAGTACTGCAATGAAGGGCTGTTCCTTTGTCACAGTTGTTATTTCTTGAAGTGTGTTGTATTTCATTAGTTCATCATGTTGTTTTCTGTACATCATTTTGAAATTGATTGCTTTTTTTTCTGGAAACCTTCCTTAAGTTATTTGAATTTTATTGATAACATTAAAAAGATTATGTGCCCCTGATTAGATAGAGTGCAGAAATATATGAAATTTATAACTCATTAATGTTAACTGATGGATATGTTGCACTGTTGCCCTTTTTAGGATTCAGTGGACAAATTCTGTTTTATTGATGTACTGGCTTAAGTATATCTGACAGACAGAATTTGATGATGGCATTAAGGGCCATTACATTATTAAATTTGTATGGTTGATATTAACTTTTCCAGTTCAAGTTGGTCAATGTTACATAGGAGCAGTTGTGTTCGTTTCTTTATGAGGGTCTGGATTGAGGATCCTTCATTTTTGTATTCTTTAATTTGTTATGCCATTTTTCTCTATTCTTTATATTTTAGCACCTCATTATACTCTTTTCTGTATTTTTTTGTCCATTTTTCTCTATTCTTTATATTTATTGCCCATTATTCTCTTGTTCTGTAAACCCCCATCCACACCCTCCTTTATTTGCTCTTTCAGAACTGTACAGATATCATGCCAGGAGTTATCTACCTTTAAGCACTCAAATCATGATGATGATTTCTCTTCCTAATAGGTCAATTAAAAATTGTAAAAATTAATGAAACAAACAAAGTGTTTTATATTATACTTTAAATTGCATGCTGTGAACCTATCAACTTTATAATTATGAACATTTCGTAAATGACCGATTTGGTATAATCATTCTTTAAATCATTATTTATTTTTTAGTCTTCAAATTTTGACAAAGTCACGACTTATTTTAATAACCTGGTACAGATGTGTATTGAAAAATATTATAAACACCTTTAAAGAGTTGGCCTTTTTTGTTCAATGTAACATATTTCAATAAGACTTATTAATCTTTGAGTGTCTATGTGGTCAATGACAAAGACGACCTGAAAGAAAAACTTAATATCTGTGTATCCTTGGGCTTAAACTTAGAGTCGTATTTGTCAACATTGATTATGTCTTTATAATCATGAAATGGCGAGGGATAATTGGTATGTAAAAAGGTAAGAAATCTTTTATCAAATTAATAATTTCTATAATGGAGGGAGTGAGAAGTCACAGTGATTTAAGGTAATTTTCTTTTAGTGTAAAACCTTCTGCAAGCGTTTTTTTTTTAAAATGCTTTATGCAGTTTTTTTCGTCTTACGGAATTGTTTTAATTGATCTAAAGTGTAAGGTATGCTTTATCTAGAATTTGATATTTTAATTTAAAAATAGAATGACTTGAATAGATCTAGAGTGTAATCGAAGCTGTTGTACAGGAATTTGATGGATTTTTTTTTACCAATATGATCATAGAGACTAAGCTTCTTAATTAAGATGTTTTTATCGTCTGCTTTTTGAGTAACCACAGTTGCTGCGTCATTGACAATTTCTGAACATTTGTTTTTCTTGTTTTTCTTGTTGACATTGAATAAGGAATTCATTTTTCAAAGTTTTCCTTTTGAAATATTCTGATGTTGCTATCAGTGTCTCCTTAAATCACTCATCATATTTTAGACATTTAGGTGGTTAAATATAGACCAGTGAAATACATGTAGAAGTCACAGTCAATCTCTCCTTGTTTTTCGAGATCATCATACTTTGGTTGTATGCTTGTCTAATGTAGGTGAATCATGAATTCTTAATTATGACCTCAAACAAACTGATCAAGCTTTTTCAGTCAACCTTTTGTTACCTGAGTGTTCATGATCTGATTGCTTAATACTATAATGTAACATCTTTGTAACTCCTTAAGGTAAAAAGAAAAATGCCGATGATAATGATACTGAGCATCTTAAGCAACCTAAACTACACGCCACCTATAAATCTAGCAAACTGAACTATACACTTTGAAGTAAAGATGCTGTGATGGAATTCACATAATCATTGATAACATTGTAGAACAACTTATTGATTTCTTTGGCACTTGTAGTCACAAGCATAACTTAACAGAGACATTAGGGAGCTACCATTTGATTTTTAAGGGGGGGGGGCTAGGATGAAATTTGAAAAAAAAGGCAGGACAGGAGTTTTGAGTAAAAAAAAAGGCAGGATGAGCAACTTGGCAAAAAAAAAAGGCAGGATGACAATTTGTGTAAAAAAAGTCAAGATAATTTGTAATAAAAAAAAAAAGGCAGGATGGGATAGCGTGAAAAATAAAAAGGCAGGACAAAGATTACAACTAAAAAAAAAAGGCAGGACGGAATAGAGTGAAAAATAAAAAGGACAAAATTGTTCATCCTAGCCCCCCCCCCCCCCACCATAAAAATCAAATGGTAGCTCCCTTAAGCTTTGCTAAACGAAAATCTGCAAGAAAACAGTTGATCTGTGTCTTTTTAACAATTTACTAATAGAATAAATCTCTATAATCATATTTTCCTGATTTATTTGGTTTCAGTAAACTTTTCTAAATATAGTAACCTTTGATGTACACTCACTATTTTTTACTTCACTTAATTGGTATAAAAAGGTTTCAATTACTGGATTTTCAGTAATGTTTACAATGTTTTTACTATTTACTAAATTGATTCAGTATTAGTTTTGCAAAAATAATCACATTTTAAATTTTGATAGCAGCATTTCTTGAAATCTCAATGATTTAAATCTAGATCTCATAATTGTGTTCATTCTTCAATATTCCCAATAATAGATGCACACAAACATTTCTAAATTGACTGTAGATCGAGCCAAAAAAGTTTCCTATAAATAGTACAGAAATTTTAGAAATATTTGATTAAGAAAGATTTGATGTTTAAAAGAAGGATTCAGTCAGTTGATTGGAAAAGTTCACGCCAATTTCATTTTTTAATCTCTGATGATATAGATAAACCGAAGGACTTACATTTTTGCAGAACTGTAATGGCTGTCAAGTGCCTGGTAAACATGGTAAAGTTTGAACATCCTAGGTCGATTTATTTCTTGCATACTGTTGATGATCACAAACAAATTTCCCTTATGCACTTTTACTACTGTAAATTCAGAAATTATTGCGTGCATTTATTATTGCGATTTTGTCATTTTAGACTAAAATGCGATTTTAATTTTTGCGATATTGAGAAAAATCCTGTTTAATTCATATAAAAAATTTCAATATGCGAGTTTAAATTATTGCGATTATAACCCTGTCGCATTTTTCGCAATAATAAAAACATCGCAATAATTTCTGAATTTACGGTATTTTGTATTGCATATAAAGTTCGAGTCAGCTTTCACACACACTCACAAATTATTCTTGCTCTTGACCAAACTATTTTTGCTCTTACTCAATTAAATACTGCAGGTTAATAGCAGATTACCAAATACCAATTTTATATTGTCTGGTTGACATTGACTAAGGGTCAAGCCCTCAACCATCTCCACTAGAGGCAGTCATGTAACCTGGGGTCACTTAAGCAATACAGACAGTACTTTAAGGACTATAGTATCAATCTGTATGTGGTATATATGAGGGTTTCAACGATATTTGTACTTTATAGAATAAATTGTGGTGTCTCTTTTGAAATCTGTTTATGTATATTAATGGATTAAAGTAAAAACTTCAAAAAGAACTTAAATTTGCACTTTGTTGGTATTTTTTTATCATGGAAATAGATGAGTACATGTTCTAACCATTTTTTCTTATTTTGTATTTAAAATTGTAAGAATGAAGGTAAAGGGAGCTAACTCCAGATTAAACTGGAAGTGTTTTTAATAAGATCTTTGTACTATTCATAAATGTATTTTTTTTTATCTATATGCTCTGAGCTACTGTATATTATGATGTTGCTTGGCAGTTTAAGTGATTTTCAGTTATGCTAAAAAATAATTACATCCAGTGAGTAAAAAACATTTGGATCTATGTTTAATCAAATATTTAAAGTTTGTCTTAGAAATGATGAGGTGCGCTTATATTTGATTTAGAGTTACACCCCTTAGAATTTAGATAAGTAATAGAAATACAAATTATTAAATGTTTCTATATAAAGAAAAATCAGTGAATCATAATAGGTAAATATAGGCCTATTGCTGGAATAATTTGTACTTATATTGACAATTATAATATTTTCTTACATAATATAGTTGTAAAGGTCTTTATAAAAATCGACAGTTAGGTGAAAATAATATGTTATTATACATTTAAGATTTATAATGTTATCAAAGTCTGCAAATTTAATTGCTTGTTGCCACACTGTTTAACAAATGTTTAATAATTGGAAATAATATGTACTTGTATGTCTTAGGTTCTAGACTTGTTTGAATTTTGACAATGCTATATGGTAGTTATTTTTTATTTTGGGCTTTTCTGTTGAGCAGAAAATATCCTCTTATCTAGGATCAATATTTTATAATGCTGATTTGTTGACGTAATAAATAAAATATTCACAATTCAACGCCTGTCAACATACATATGAAACTTTAAATTTTTTTTTATATGATTTTTTAAAAAATTGAATAAATAGTCCAATAAAATTTGACTTGATATTATAATTCGAGCAGTTCTTGACTATGAAAAGTGTCGTGTTAATTCTGGATTTGATATACAACAAGCTCTTATATTGTTTGATGATGAAAAACTAAAGTAACTTAAAAGGAAGGGTGACACCCAAGGAAAATATTATAGTGATACCTTTTATGTATTCTTCGTTTGAATGTAAATTTTGAAATTGTGTGCCAAATTGGAAGCTATAACTTAAAATTGGATGTGAAACTTTGACATTTTCACTCTGTTACTATTTGATTTTAGGATTTAATAAACTTGATTCAATATAAGATAGATGTTTATATCAGCCGAAAAAGTCATTTAAGTCATCTTAAAATTTAAATCGTAAATTTGAATGTTGTCTATGGCTTCATGTGTTGACTTATATGAACCATTTATATAGGATTGTATATACCTATTAGCTAAATCAAGACGTTTGAATGATAGACCACTATGAGTGCTGAACCTATTGAAGTTTTAAAAGTTTTAAAGGCAACATTGTGAAGATTGCAGGACTCATTGCATGACATATATTGGATTTTAAAAAGAAACTTAATATTTTATAAGATATGTTTTTACAATTTGTTTGCTTGAGATTATAAACTTTTGTGTACTAGACGATTTAATTTCTTATTTTTAATGGGCTAGGATTTAAAAATTAAAAATTGAAATTGTGAGTATTTAGGGTCACTTCAATGGACCATTAGGCAATTGTGGCTCAATTATAGAAGAATTTAGATTTTTCAATGTAAAAAATCGCTTCATCAACAATGCATGGCATCTCTTAAACAGTTATTCTCAAGAATTCAGAAGTTTGATATCTGAATTTTTTTTTAATTCAACAACTGTTTTTACTTGGATATGAATTGTTAGATCTGAATCTTATGTTGGACATACAAGACAATCAATAGGATCAACAGATGCTTTGGATTTTATTCATTCCTCGGAGGATTAATAAAAATGGTTCTTATTTCTAACATCATTGATTTCTGATGAAAAATAAATGATATTGCTATGTGGAACAATAACATTAATTAAAGACATTAATAGTTAGAAAAAAATTTATATATAGAAATAAAAAAATCCCATTTTTGGAAAATAAAGTTTTGAAAAATATATTAAATTATGTCTGTAAGTTCGAGTGAAACCTGTAGACCTGAGTCTCCTGGACATGTGAAAGTTAATCCCATAAAAAAGTTCAATATTGCTAGCTTAGCACGGCATCTTATGGATCAGAAAAAGCAGGACGAGAAAAAAGTACAGGAAAACAGGTAATCAGTCTTCGTTTCTATGGAAATGTTTTTAAGTAATGATTTCTGTTGTCTTTGAATATTCTGTCTCTATTTTTTTTCTTCTTTTTTTGAAAGGAGACCATATTTGGGGGTATAAAAGGGGGGGTTGTACTTAAATCTTTTGAATATCTGATCTATTGTAATATTTGACCAGAAAGTTGCATCTCACCAATAAATGTTGCAAAAGATGATAAATTGATTTAAGGTGCACTTTTTCATTTTTTCCAACTTTTATATCAATTTGACAATCATCAATATTAATGACCATGATAGGATCACTAAGAACTATTTTGTTGTCATCGTTCTCCATGGTGATAAATAACTAAGATCATGCATGTGATACCATTCTATTTCCATGGAAATGAGTAAGAATAAATTAATTTTTAGTAAGCATTTTGAATGAAAGGAGATGAGGGTTATATAAACATCAACGAAACAGCACCCCAACAACACAAACAAAATACATCTGGTTTGTCAACAGACAGTCTTCAACAATGTACAATCACATGTCTGAACCATATTGCAAGTAGCCTAATTAACAAAGTTGAAACAAGTTATGAATAAATATAACAGAGACCACCCACTTTTGAATAAGTTTTGTTTCATTAGTTTCATTATATAGTATCAAAAGGCTACCTTCTTTGCTGCTGCTATTTTCATTCTCTCTCTGCTAGAACAGCTAGGTCACCTTAGTGTTTTAATGCTGCTGATATGTCCATTCAAGCATCAAACTTTGGTTGTTATACAATTTGCTCAAAATTGGAAATAACACCTTTTTTAAAGTTCTCATTGCAGAAAAACTTTTATTGTCTGTAGAAAAAGGTAAATGCACTTCGATTGAAAATTATGTATTCGTTTCCAATTTACTTGAAAGTGGACATTGGTCTGCTTAAAAAAATACATGCAATAAAATTTGGCAAACATAAAATCTGGTACTCTTTTCAGCAAAGGTGTGAAAAAAGACTTTTGTATGACTGGTTCCCTTTTGAGCACTGATAGGAAAAGGCAGACTCTTTGTCTGGTACCCTTTTAACACAAGTATGAAGTAATATTTTTATCTATCTGGTACCCCTTTAAGCATAGGTGTGAAATGAGACTTTTATCACTGGACAATTTACATTTTGTCTGAAGTAGTCCTTTAATCCAGTGAACAAACATATACTGTGTCAATTGATTTGTTTCATTATAGGAACATTTGTACAATTTCTTTATCTTCAACATATCTTTCTTAATATAAAATGGATACTTTTATTTTGTGTTTTTATATATTTTTTTCTTTGGTTTCTTCAAGGATTTATATAGTAACTTCTATATAAATCATTGGTTTCTTATTACAAATTTGTGTAACACAATCATGGGTGTTCTTCACTTAAAGTTTGTGCATTTCTTTTCAAACAAAAAATCTTTATTATAGTAATAATCCTCATTATCCACCTATTAATATGAACAGTTCTTTTCAAAGGTAGAATTCTATAAATGAGCTGCATCGGATAGAAATCGACCTTATGCAAGTTCAGGTATACATGTACATGTACATGTATATGACTTTGACTAATTTCGGTACATTCAAATACGAAATAAAAGATCAATTTTGGTTTTTTTTGTAGGATTCTTATAACAACTCAATTTTTAAAAAGTTACATACTTTCCGTAGAAATTTTTTTAAACCCAAAATTGGTTAACAGATGTATTGATATTCATTTGCATAAGGACGATTGCTATCGGACGCAGCTCAATTGTTATCGCAATAATCAACTTTACAACCTCTTTGTCGTTGTCCTCCTCAGATCGGCCAACATTACCAATTTTTGGGGAGACAAACTCCCCAATGAGGAGGAATGACCTTCATTATATAAACAGAATCCCTCAAAACAGGTATTCAAAGAAGTACAGGACATATATGCTCACTCAAAACCAATGCTTATTTTAGATTAAACACACTTATTACATGTATAAGAGAAAACTCACATACTCTTGTGTTTAAAACCCTCTGTGGAGATTTTGAGAAGCTAACTCTGGTGCCTACACATTGTCATTATCACCCTGGTCATGAACATCATCATCTATTCTACTGTTCACTCAGCTTATTAATCATGGTTGTCAAGTTGATTGTTGACTATTACTGTATTGGCATTATCTCATAATCATCATTATCAAGGAGATATAACATTGATACTATCTTAGTCGATAAGGTTCAGGACCATAACGTATGACTGCCATGGACCACTGTGCTTTTATACTAAAAAGAGATTTGAAGTGTTTATCTGTTAGACAGAAAACTAAGCAACACAATAAGACATGAAATGACATGCTATAGGGTTAAATGTGAGATAGTTTTGTTGTAGCTAGTACCGGTAGTACATTAAGTTTTTTATAAAATATAGTACAATTGGAATTTAGGTCAGCTGCTCTCTGTTCTTAAAGAATCTTTCCAGAAAATTTGGTCAAACTCATTTTTAGCTCACCGGGGCCCAAAGGGCCCCATGTGAGCTTATGCCATCACTTGGCATCCGTCGTCGTCGTCTGTCGTCGTAAACTATTTCAAAAATCTTCTCCTCTGAAACTACTGGGCCAAATACCTTCAAACTTTAATTAAATGTTCCTTAGGGTATCTAGTTTATAAATTGTATCCAAAGTTTTGATCCGTCGACAAACATGGCCACCATGGCTAAAAATAGAACATAGGGGTCAAATGCAGTTTTTTGCTTATATCTCAAAAACTAAAGCTTTTAGAGCAAATCTGACATGAGGTAAAATTGTTCAATTGGTCAAGATCTATCAGCTCTGTAATTTTCAGACGAATTGAACAACCCATTGTTGGGTTGCTGCCACCGAATTGGTAGTTTTAACAAAATTTTGCAGTTTTTTGTTATTATTTTGAATATTATTATAGATATATATAAACTGTAAGCAGCAATAATGTTCAGCTAAGTAAGATCTACAAAAAAGTTGATATGACCATAATTGTCAACTGACCCCTTAAGGAGTTATTGCCCTTTAAAGACAATTTTACACAATTTGTTCATCAAGTTTGCTAACATTTAAAAATCTTCTCTGAAATGCAGGTGAGCGATTCAGGCTCTTGAGAGCCTCTTGTTTACATTTCAGTATATCAAATGCAATCCATTTTGTTATAATATTTTTAAGCGCTGCAGACTTTAAGACATGTAGGTTCTGCGGCTCTTTATTTCAATACCTATTTTAAGAGGAGCAATATTTTGTTTTCAAAATACGGTATTAAATATAAACAGCTTTTAAAAGTTGGAATTGTTCTTATAAAAGTGAAACATAATGCAATAACCTTACCAGTATGTAGACTCTACACCAGGTATTACTATTTAGCTTGCTCCATCATTTCAATTAGATGGTTTACTGCAATTATAAAAGCGCATGACAATAAACACCCAGACTTATAAATGTTAAGTATATTGCTTTGGTTTACATAGTGTATATTCATTTTTGCTGTGATGTTAGTGTATATTTCACTGTGGTGTACATAATGTATATTGCTGTGATGTTAGTGTATATTTCAATGTGGTGTACATACTATATATTGCTGTGATGTTAGTGTATATTTCACTGTTGTGTACAACTGTATATTGCTGTGATGTATGTACTGTATATTGCTACTGGATCTCTATAAATAAAATGTTTTGTTGCTGGAAAAATGAAGATAACAGTTTACAGCCATAGCCAATGTAGGGTGATAACATGTAAGGGAGCAACCATTTAACTTTAAGTGGTGGTTATGGTTTTTTGTCGAGCCTGCGACTTTTGTCGCAGAAAGCTCGACATAGGGATAGTGATCCGGCGGCGTTAGCTAACTTCTTAAAAGCTTTATATTTTAGAAGGTGGAAGGTCTGGATGCTTCATACTTTGTTTATGGATGCCTCATGTTACGAAGTTTCCGTCAGTCACATGTCCAATGTCCTTGACCTCATTTTCATGGTTCAGTGACTACTTGAAAAAAAAGTTAAGATTTTTTGTAATGTTAGATTCTCTCTTATTATAAGTAATAGGATAACTATATTTGGTATGTGCGTACCTTGCAAGGTCCTCATGCCCGTCAGACAGTTTTCACTTGACCTCGACCTCATTTCATGGATCAGTGAACAAGGTTAAGTTTTGGTGGTCAAGTCCATATCTCAGATACTATAAGCAATAGGTCTAGTATATTCGGTGTATGGAAGGACTGTAAGGTGTACATGTCCAACTGGCAGGTGTCATCCGACCTTGACCTCATTTTCATGGTTCAGTGGTTATAGTTAAGTTTTTGTGTTTTGGTCTGTTTTTCTTATACTGTATGCCATAGGTCTACTATATTTGGTGTATGGAATGATTGTAAGGTGTACATGTCTAGCTGGCAGGTGTCATCTGACCTTGACCTCATTTTCATGGTTCAGTGGTCAAAGTTAAGTTTTTGAGTTTTGGTCTTTTTTTCTAGTACTATATGCAATAGTTCAACTATATTTGGTATGTGCGTACCTTGCAAGGTCCTGATGCCCGTCAGACAGTTTTCACTTGACCTCGACCTCATTTCATGGATCAGTGAACAAGGTTAAGTTTTGGTGGTCAAGTCCATATCTCAGATACTATAAGCAATAGGTCTAGTATATTCGGTGTATGGAAGGACTGTAAGGTGTACATGTCCAACTGGCAGGTGTCATCTGACCTTGACCTCATTTTCATGGTTCAGTGGTTATAGTTAAGCTTTTGTGTTTTGGTTTTTTTTCTTATACTGTATGCCATAGGTCTACTATATTTGGTGTATGGAATGATTGTAAGGTGTACATGTCTAGCGGGCAGGTGTCATCTGACCTTGACCTCATTTTCATGGTTCAGTGGTCAAAGTTAAGTTTTTAGAGTTTTGGTCCTTTTTTCTAATACTATATGCAATAGTTCAACTATATTTGGTGTATGGAAATATTTTATGATCTATTTGGCAGTCACACAGGTTTTATTTGACCTTGACCTCATTT